ACTTAAATTTCACTCTTACAAGTGACCAAGGAAATGCATATTCAACAAGCAAAATATTTTTTGCGTGTCAAATTAGGTAACAATTTTTTGTTGCAGGTGTGGGCAGAGATGCAATCAGGGTCTTACTCTATCAGCCAGGCTAGAGTGCAGTGATGAATCATAACTCACTGTAACCTCAAACTCCTGGGCTCAAGTGATCCTCCCACCTCAGCCTCATAAGTAGCTGGAACTACAGGCGTGCAACACCATGCCCCACTAATTTTTTAAACTTTTTTTTTTCTTTTTTTTTTTTTTGTAGAGATGGGATCTTGCTATGTTTCCCAAGCTGGTCTCAAACTCCTGGCCTCAAGTCTTCCCACCTCAGCTTCCCAAAGTACTGGAATTACAGGTTTGAGCCACCACCCCCCACCTAGATAACAATTTTAAAATTATAATAATGCTGGTAAGACCATGGTAAAACAAGTATCCTCATCTATTGCTTTCCAAAAGAACTGTGCCACCAGCAATTTCACTGTATGTACAAAAACCCTTAAATGTCCGCATTCTTTGATCTGTTAATTCTATTTCAAAGAACAAATTCTAAAGAAATAATATAAAATAAGGAAAACTTTGTTCCTGATGGCATTATTAATAGAAAAAACATAGAAACAACCTAAATGCCCACAATATGGGAAGATACTATAAAGTATGTCCCCAACAAAATTCATATTGAAATCCTAATCCTTAATGTGACCATATTAGGAGATGGGGCCTTTGGTAGCTGATTAGGTCATGAGGGCAGAGCTCTCATGAATGAGATTAGTAACCTTATTAAAGAGACTCCAGAGAGCTCCTGTGCCCCTTCAGCAACATGAGGACCCAGAGAGAAGCAGACCCTCACCAGACACTGAATCTGCTAGTGCTCTGATCTGAACTTCTCAGCCTCCAGAACTGTGAAAAATAAATTTTTGTTATTTATAAAGCACCTAGGCCATGATATTTTTGTTTTATCAGCCCAAGTGGCATAAGATAGAAATTGGTATTGAGAATGGGAGTCCTACTATAAAAAATACCTAAAAATGTGGAAGCAGCTTTAGAAATAGGTAATGGGTAGAGACTAGAAGAATACTGAGGTACACAGTAGAAAAAGCCTGCATTGCCTTAAACCTTTTCAAAAGAGATTCTGGTGAGGAATCAGAAAGAAAAGAGGAGGCCAGGTGCAGTGGTTCACGCCTGTAATCCCAACACGCTGGGAAGCCGTGGCGGGTGGATCACCTAAGATCAGGACTTTGAGACCAGCCTGGTCAACATGGTGAAACCCCATCCTACTGAAAATACAAAAATTAGTCAGGCATGGTGGCAGGCGCCTGTAATCCCAGCTACTCGGGAGGCTGAGACAGGAGAATCGCTTGAACCCGAGAGGCGGAGGTTGCAGTGAGCCAAGATCGTGCCACTGCACTCCAGCTTGGGCAACAGAGCAAGACTCTGTCTTGAAAAACAAAATAAAACAAACAAAAACAAAGAAAGAAAAGAGGGGAGCTACAGAAAAAGCCTCAGTCTTCTTAGAGAATACCTAAGTAACCATGAACATAGTATTGGTAAAATATGAGGTAAAGTCCATTCCGATGAGGTCTCAGATAGAAATGAGAAATAATATGTTATTAGAAACTGAAGGAAAAACACTCTGTTACAGAGTGGTAGAGAACTTGCTGAACTGTATTTATGGTCTAGGATTCTGTGGAAAGTGAAACTTGCAAGTGATGAAATTGCATATTTAGCTGGAGCTATTTCTAAGCAAAGTGATAAAGGTGCAGCTTGGCTCTTCCTATGTGCTTACAGTAAAATGTGAGAAGAGAGAAATGACTTAAAAGACAGAATTGTTAAGCAAAAAGGAAGCATTAACTTAAAGATTTGAAAAGTTATCAGCCTATGCACATTGTAAAAAGTGAAAAAGCATATTAGGGAGGTCCCCAGTCACATATAACCAGTTGGTAAGTTTGGGGATGAGTGCCCTCATGGAAGTGGCCTTATAAAATGACTCCTAAGAGCTCCCTTGCCCCTTTCACCACATAAGGACACAGCAAGAAGACTGACACCAATGAATCAGAAATCAGGTCCTCACCAGATACTACATCTTCTGGCACCTTGATCCTGGACTTCCTAGCCTCCAAAACTGTCAGAAATAAAGTTGTGCTGTTGATAAGCCACCCAGTCTATGATATTTTTCTTATAGCAGCCTGAACAGACTCAGACAGAAAGGTTACATAAATTACAGTACTCTTACATAATGGACTATTAAAAAGCTATATAGGCCAGGTGTGGTGGCTAATACCTGTAATCCCAGAACACTGGGAGGCTGAAGCAGGAGGATCACCTGAGGTCAGGAGTTCAAGACCAGCCTACATAGTGAAACCCTCTCTCTACTAAAAATACAGAAATTAGCCAGGCATGGTGGTGTGTGTCTGTAGTTCCAGTTACTTGGGAGGCTGAGGCAAGAGAATCACTTGAACCTAGGAGGCAGAGGTTGCAGTGAGCCAAGACCGCACCACTATACTCCAGCCTGGGCAACAGTGAGACTCTGTCTCAAAAAGAAAAAAAAAAAAGGCAGCCATATAAAGATGTTTATAAATCCATATGATACATATGACTACATATGATAGACTGTACAGACATTAAAATGATAGTTTTAAATGACAGTATGTCCACATGATGAATGATTATGTAGCCATTAAAATGATGGTTATGAAGACTTAATTTAAATCAAATAAAATTTAAAATTCGGTCTCTTATTGACACTAACTACATTTTGAATACTCAATAGCCACATATGGCTAAGTAGCTACTATCCTGGGCAGCACAGATGTGGAACACTTCCATTACAGATATTCTAATAAATGACACTTTCACAACTTAAAAAATATTAAACCTATAAATTTGTAAATATATACATATATTTTTCACTCTGTAACTTAAAAATTTTTTAAACTGACACAGATAAAAGAAAAAAAAAACATAATTCTTTCACCTTAACCCAACTTTCTCCCACTCTTTGTTCTAATTCATGCCTTTTTGCACAGGTGTAACCATAGTACATACTGCCTACTTCCTTGGTAGACAATGGGGATACATTCGTAAAGAGAATACACTGGGTCCCTGCACACAGTTAGAAAACATCAAGTAGTGATGTGTAACCCAGAAATTAAAATTGATTCTTATGATAGTGACTAGAGGGTATTAGGACTACTTAGAAATATAGATAGGAATGGTCTCTTTATGGAATTTACATCCCAGCTGAGATTTAAAGGTGAGAAAAAAGCCAGCCATTTTAAAAGCCTTAAGAATGCTTCAAACAGCCGGGTGCAGTGACTCACACCTGTAATCCCAACACTTTGGGAGGCTGAGGCGGACGGATCACCTGAGGTCAGGAGTTTGAGAACAGCCTGGCCAACATGGTGACACCCCATCTCTACTAAAAATACAAAAAATTAGCTGGACATGGTGGCGCACACCTATAATCCCAGCTACTCGGGATGCTGAGGCACGAGAATCACTTAAGCCTAGGAGGCAGAGGTTGCAGTGAGCCGAGATCGCACCATTGCACTACAGCCTGGGAAAAAACAGCCAAACTCCAAATGCTTCAAACAAAACAAAACAGCTGTGTGTGAAGAACAAAAAAAAGGACATTATGCCTAGAGACAGCACAAGCAGAGTGGTAAGAAATAGAGAAGATGAAGTCTGAGAGGAGAACAGGGACCAGGTCCTGCAGGGCAGTATAGGCCATGGTAAGAACTTTGGATTTTTATTCTAAGGTCGACAGAAGTCACTACAGGGTTTTAAGCAGGAAAATGACATTATATGGCTTCTGTTTTTAAAAGATTTCGCTAATTGCTGTGGAAAGAATGATTGGTAGAAAGAAGGCTCAGAGTAGATGTTATTCCAGTGGTCTAAGCAAAGAAATGCTGGTGCTGTGGACAATGATCACGGCAGCAGAGACTGAGATAAATAGAGTGACAAATTTGGGGGAAGAACTCACAGACTTGGTGACAGATTACCCATGAGAGTTGATGGTAGGGTAGAGTAGGAAGCTTTCATTTTTCACCTGAATACTGGGCGACTGATGGTATCATTTAATGAATTGGAGACACAAACAGGAACAAGTTTACACACACATGCACATGTGTGCAGCGCACACACACACAAGTCAAGAGTTCCATTTTTTATGTAATTAAGTTCAAGATACCATATGGTATCTTGATACCAGATTTATATAATTAAATCTCCATATGGAAATGTCAAGCAGCCAATTAGATTTGTAAGTCTGAAGTTCAGCAGAGAGATCTGGCCTGAAGATACAGACTTGGGAATCATCTGTATATCAATTATATTTAAAGCAACAGGCCTTAATGAGACTACTTAAAGAACAGAACCTAGGGTGCAAACTTTAGGTAATCCAATATTCAGGCTGAACATGGTGGCTCATACCTGTAATCCCAACACTTTTGAGCCCAAGAGTTCAAGACCAGCCTGGGCAGCATGACAACACCTGGTCTCTACAAAAAAATACAAAAATTACCCAGGCACAGGGGGATACACCTGTAGTGCCAGCTATTTGGGCGGCTGAGGTGGAAGGATTGCTTGAGTCTGGGAGGTCAAGGCTGCAGTGAGCTGTGATCATGCCACTGCACTCCAGCCTGGGTGACAGAGAGAGACCCTGTCTCAAAAACAAAAAACACACATACCCAATTTCAAAGGCTCAGAGGTCAGACACAAGAAAAGACAGAAAAGGCCTGGCCAGTGAGACAGGTAGAAAGAAACTCAAGTGAAGAGAAAGAGTTACACAAGTATGTTTGCTCTAATGTAGCAGGTAATTTTAAGATGAACCCCGAATGGCCTATGTCTCTTCACTTCTGCGTACTTTAAACCGTCAAGTGAAAGGGTAAATGTAAAAACAGTAGATAATTATCTAATAGCAAAAGCAGCAAAAAGAAACTGTCATTGCTTATTCCAACTCTGCCAATTACCTTGCATGAAATAAAGTAGTAACAGCCAAACAAAGATTCTTAAAGAGGTAACCTGAATCCACCAATTGCTGAACAATGGAAAAAATACAACTCGAACAAGCCCCTTCCGAGTCAGAGATGTCCATGGAATTTCAGGTTTTGCTTTGGCAAATGTTGACCCTTTAAACATACAATAAAACAAAACATCAAACATTTATATACACTGTATTGATGCCCACCTGTAGCACTACATTAAAAACAGGTGAGTGCAAACATCAGCACAAAACCTGTTCAGTTAAAAAAAAAAAAAAGAAAAAACCCTCTTAGATGTCTGTTAAATGTAATAACTTCTTGCCTCAATCACTAGGACAGAAGCTCAAAATAAGTCAGGCTTACTTGAATGTTAAACAACCTATTTATCTAATTACACAACAGCAAGTCTCTATGTTCATCCCTCTTTTACATGTATGCATGTAATTTATAGAGCCACACAGTACTAAGGCAGAGGTAGAAAAAGTGCTAAAGCCTGAGTGATGAGAGTAAAGTGTTACATTTGGAAATTAAAGTACACCATCATATAGAGAAGATATTAAAAATTAGGCACCACCTGAAATAATATAATAACGTACATAAAAAACAATTTTAGAACTAACCTCTGATTAAGTCAACGTCAATCAAGTCTGGCTTTATGTGGCCCATCTTTTTTGGTTTGTTTTTCAAACCCTAGGATAAAACAAAACAAAAACAAAACCAGAAATAAATAAAAGCCCTTTTATTTACTTTTTCTTTTTTTGAGACGTAGTTTCGCTCTTGTTGCTCAGGCTGGAAAGCAATGGTGTGATCTCGGCTCACTGCAACCTCTGCCTCCCGGGTTCAAGTGATTCTCCTGACTCAGCCCCCTAAGTAGCTGGAATTACAGGTGCCCACCATTAAGCCCGGCTAATTTTTTGTATTTTTAGTAGAGATGGGGTTTCACCATGTTGGCCAGGTTAGTCTCAAACTCCTGACCTCAGGTGATCCACTCACCTCGGCCTCCCAGAAGTGCTGGGATTATAGGTGTGAGCCTCTGTGCCCAGTCAGAAAAGCCCTTTTAAATACAGAAAATAAACTTAAATTTTTTTTTCTGTATATCTGATTCCCTTTTACTAAGGACACTTTAATCCTAACGCTCCTTAAAGGAACTTGCCATTAATACACATTTTGTTTTAGTTTTTAATCCTCTCCACTAATGCATCCATATACTTTATCACTTTTTAAAATATTCGAACAGTGCCAACAGATCAATACATGAAAAATAATAGCCCCCTGAGCCATCTCTCCTCTCCTCTGAATTTCACTCCTCAAAAACAAATAACTTTCATCTTTTTTTTTGCTCTACTATTTTTAATTGACACGTTATAGTTGTGCACATTTATGGGGTAGAATGTGATATTTCAATACATGTATACAATGTATAATGATCAAACTATATCACCTTGAACATTTATCATTTCTTTGTGTTGGGTTCATTCAAAATCCACCCTGCTAGGTATCTGAAAACATACAATAAATTGTGGTTAATTATAGCCACCTCACAGTGCTACAGAACACTAAACCTTATTCCTATCTAGCTGTACTTTTGTATTTGTTAACCAAGCATTGGCTATCTGTCGTTCCCTCCCTCTTACACTTCCACACCTCTAGTAACTACTATTCTACTCTCTACTTCTATGAGATCAACTTTTTAGCTTCCATGTATGTGTGAGAACACGAAGTATTTATCGTTCTGTGCCTGGCTTATTTCACTCTGCATAATGTTCTCCATTTCCATTCATGTTGCCATGAATGACACAACTTCATTCTTTCTTACAGCTAAATAATATTCCATTGTGTATATATACCATATTTTCTTTATCCATTCATCTGTTGATGGACACGTATGAATTCCATGTCATGACTATTGTGAATAATGCTGCAATAAACATAGGAATACAGATATTCCTTCGACATATAGATTATCTTTCCTTTGGATATATACTGAGACTGCTGGATCACATGGTAGTTCTATTTCTAGTTTTTTGAGGAACCACAATACTGTTTTTCATAGTGGCTATACTAATTTACATTCACACCACCAGTGTATAAGAATTCCCCTTTCTCTGCATCCTTGCCAGCATTTTTTTTTTGTCTTTTTGATAACAGCCATTCTAAACTAGGTTGACGTGGTATCTCATTGTGGTTTGATTTGCATTTCCCTAATGACTGGTGATATTGAGCATTTTTTCATGTACCTGTTGGCCGTCTGTATTGTCTTCTTTTGAGAGATGTCTATTCAGCTCAATCGTCCATTTTAAAATTGAAGTATTTGGATTTTTGCTATTGAGTTATTTGAGTTCCTTATATATATTAATCCTTTTTCAGATGAAAAGTTTGCAAATGCTTTCTCTCATTCTGTAGGTTGTCCCTTCAATCTTGATTGTTTCCTTTGCTGTGCGGAAGCTTTCTAGTTTGATACAATCCTATTTGTCTATTTTTGCTTGTTACCTGTGCTTCTGAGGTCTTCTCTATAAAATCTTTACCCAGACCAATGTTCTGAAGCATTTCCCCTATGTTTTCTTCTAGCAGTTTCAGGTCTTACATTTAAATCATTAATCTATTTTGGCTTGGTTTTTGTATATGGTGAGAAATAGTGGCCAGGCACGGTGACTCACCCCTGTAATCCCAACACTTTGGGAGGGGCCAAGGCGGGAGGATACCTGAGGTCAAGAGTTTAAGACCAGCCTGGCCAACATGGTGAAACTCTGTCTCTACTAAAAACACAAAAAGTGGCTGGGCATGGTGGTGAGTGCCTATAATCCCAGCTACTCAGGAGGCTGAGGCAGGAGAATCACTTGAACTGGGAACGTGGAGGTTGCTGAGATCACACCACTGCACTCTAACCTGGGCAACAGAGCAAGACCCTGACCCTTAATTTAGAAAATAATAATAAAATAATTTGTACATGCTAATTCTTAATTACATCTTAAAAATTAGATATTCAATCATTAAAATTAATGCCAAAATTAAAGTTTACAATAATTTGCTATTTACCTATCATGGTCATTGAAACAGTATTGATCTTTAGCTTTGTTTAAACAGATGCAGTCAATTTCTCTTGTAAATCCTATATATTTCTATTCAACTCACCATAAGCTGTAGATTTTACAGAAAAATATTCTAAAACCTCAAGTGTAATAAAATTAAAGAAGGAATCAAAATTTGAAAATGAGGCAACTCAAGGAAAAAACCCTTTGAAGAAACATGTACACTAATTTTTGAAATATGCATAATTTTCACGAGAATAACAATTATCTTGTATGCTATATTCAAAATCAGAAATTAAAAATTTAAAGGTAAAAATATTACTTTATACCTTTTTGGACATTTGTCCCAGTGCTAAGCTTTCCGGACATTTGTACCAGTGCTATTCCCCATCACTTTAGAGTCAAAATAATCTTTCTGTTTTCTTTGCTTTCTAGACTTTTCTCCAATAATGTTACAGCGTTAGAATTAGCATTAACTAGAGGTACAATTATCCAAATCTCCCTTAGCAATAGAAACACATTTATTCATTCACTCAGTCAAAAAATATTCCACAAGTATCTTCTATATGTCAGATACTCTGCTTGAGCTAGGTATAAAACAATAAGTCAAAACATGGCTCTATCTTCAACGAATGTACAGTATAGAAGGGAAGACAAATGATAAGGCCAAATGTACAAGGATTACTCAGGAAAATGCCCTCTGAATCTCTCCATTTTTTTAATTCCTAAAGAGACAGAAATCATTAATAAATTTATGACCACTGATCTCAAGGAAGATTAGAAAAGTCACCATATACTGCTGTATATTTTGTACTGAAGGAGAGTAAAAACCACATTCCATACTTTTGTTTTAGAATTCTTCTGCTTTATCTTCCACCGTGCAGGTATGTATAAGAGGAAGTACATGCCAGGCACTATCCTAAGCACTTTCACATATAGTCATGCATCACTTAATGTCAGGGATACATTCTAAGAAATTCATCTTTAAGTGATTTCACTGTTGCCTGAACATAGCTTACTACACACCTAGGCTATATGGCAGCCTATTGCTCCAAGGCTATAAATCTGTCCAGCATATTACTATACAGAATATTTAGGCAATTTTAAACACAGTGGTATTTGTGTCTAAACCTAGAAAAGGTATAGTAAAAATATGGTATAAAAGATAAAAAATGGGGCTGGGCGTGGTGGCTCACCCCTGTAATCCCAGCACTTTGGGAGGCCAAGGCAGGAGGATCACCTGAGGTCAGGAGTTCAAGACCACCCTGGCCAACATGGTGAAACCCCATCTCTACTAAAAATACAAAATTAGCCGGGTGTGGTGGTGGGCACCTGTAATCCCAGCCACTCAGAAGGCTGAGGCAGGATTGCTTGAACCCGGGAGGCTGAGGTTGCAGTGAGCCAAGATCGCACCATTGCACTTTAGCCTGGGCAACAAGAGTGAAACTCTGTCTCAAAAAAGAAAAATAAAAAATAAAAGATGGTACACCTGTATAGGGCACTTATGAATAGTGCTCTCAGGACTGGGAGTTGCTCTGAGTAAGTCAGTGAGTGAGTGGTCAATGAAAGTAAAAGCTTAAGACACCGCTGTAGTACACTATTGTAGACTTCATAAACACCGTAAACATAAGATACACATCACATTTTTTTAAATCTTCCGTTCTACAACAATAACTTTTTTTTTTCTCTGAGACAGAGTCTTGCTCTGTTGCCCATGATATAGTGCAATGGCACGATCACAGCTCACTACAATCTCATTCTCCTGGGCTCAAGCAATCCTCCCACCTCAGCCTCCCAAGTTTTTTGTTTTTGTTTTTGTTTTTTTTTTTTGTAGAGAAGGGGTCTTGCTTTGTCACCCACGCTGGTCTCAAACTCCGGGTCTCAAGTGATCCTCCTGCCGTGGCCTCCCAAAGTGCTAGAATTATAGGCATGAGCCACCTCAACCAGTCTGTTCTATAATAACTTAACCTTAGCTTACTGTAATGCTTTTGCTTTATAAGCTTTATAGGTTTTTTAAACTTTTTGACTCTTTTGTAATAACAGTTTAAAAACACACATTTTCTTTTTATCTTTATAAGCTTTTCTCTTTCTTCTTTTTTTTACTTTTTAATTAAAAACTAAGATACCAACACACACAGCCAAGGCCTACATAGGGTCAGGATCATCAATATCACTGTCTCCCACCTCCACATCTTGTCCTACTGTAAGGTCTTCAGGGGCAATAACACACAGGGAGCTGTCATCTCCTATGATCACAATGCCTTCTTCTGGAATACCTCCTGAAGGACCTGCCTGAGACTGTTTTACAGTTAACTGATTTTTTTAAATAAATAGAAGGAGTCCACTCTAAAATAACAATGAAAAGCATAGTACAATAAATATATAAACCAGTAATATAGTCATTTATTATCATTATCAAGTGTTAGGTACTGTACGTAACTGTATGCTATACTTTTTATGACTGACAGTGCATTTGGTTTGTTTACTCCAGCATCACTCTAAACACATGAGTAATGTGTCATGCTATGACTTTAGGATGGCTACAAAATCACTAGGCAATAGGAATTTTTCAGCTCCATTATAATCTTATAGGACCATATGAGGAGCATCGATGACTGAAACATCATTATGTGGCACATGACTGTACTTAACTTGACTCAT